TGTGAGTGTGTGGGTGAATAGTCGTTTGTTCTCCTTGTCTCTGTGTTGCCCTGTGATGGACTGATGACCTGCCCAGGGTGGACCCAGCCTCTCACCCACTGACAGCTGGAGATAGGCACCAGCACCCCTTGTGATCCCACTTGGGATAAGTGTGATAAAAAATGGTTGGAAATGATTGTAACACGACTGAAGATGGAGGGAAGAACAGGAGGATCTGGAACACAAAAGTTTAACATATTATTAATAATAAATAGTGATTATATTAGATAAAGGTAAAAGATATGGGTTAATTATATTATAGATACAAAGTAAAGTAGATAATTTTATTGACAGAAGGAGGATTTTATTTATTAAATTATGAATAAACATAAACGATTACGATATTATTAATGATAAATAGTAGTTATTTCAGATAAAGATAGAGGATGTATATCCTTTATATCCTAAATATTATATTTAGGATATAATATTTAGGATATATAAGTTTCTTTTTCTCTGAAAAAGAAACTGATTAGCCAGTCACTTCATTTGGATGGGATTAAACTGATTTCAGATAATAAAGTAAAAAATCTTGGTGTTATTTTTGATCAGGCCTGTCATTTAAATCCCATATCAAAGAGGTTTCTAGAATTTCCTTCTTTCATCTGAGGAACATTGCAAAAATTAGAAATATCCTGTCCAGGGGTGATGCTGAGAAACTAGTCCATGCATTTGTTACTTCAAGGCTGGACTATTGTAATTCTTTACTATCAGGAAGTCCACAAACTGTAGTTAAAAGCCTTCAGCTGATCCAAAATGCTGCAGCCAGAGTTCTAATGAAAATGAAAAAGAGAGATCATATCTCTCCTATCCTGGCTTCTCTTCATTGGCTTCCTGTTAAATCAAGAATAGAATTTAAAATCCTCCTTCTCACATATAAAGCCTTAAATGGCCAAGCTCCATCTTATATCAGAGATCTGATTGTTCCTTATGTTCCTAACAGAGCACTTCGCTCTCAATCTGCAGGTTTACTAGTGGTTCCTAGAATTTCTAAAAGTAGAATGGGAGGCAGATCTTTTAGTTATCAGGCTCCTCTCCTGTGGAACCAACTACCAGTTTTAGTCCGTGAGGCAGACACCCTGTCTACTTTTAAGGCTAGGCTTAAAACTTTCATTTTTGATAAAGCTTATAGTTAGGGTGGCTCAGGTTATCCTGAGCTATCTCTATAGTTATGCTGCTATAGGCTTAGACTTTTGGAGGACATAGGGACCCCCATTTCATCATTCTGCTTCATTCTCTCTCTGTTCTCCTATTCTGCAGAATCTGTTAGTTCAATCTCTAACCTTCTGCTCTCTCTGCTTTTCCTCAGAGTAGCTTTGCCTCGTCTGTTCCTGTTTGGCTGTGACGTCATCCTGGAAAAAAACATCAGCTGTGCTGCTTCTATCAACACCCTTGTTAATAGATGTTGGAGATCGGCCTGTTTTCCAGTGTGGTCCTGTTTCTCTGACCGTGACTGAGTGGATGTGCTCTCTTCGTCCTCTGGCATGGGAGCTGCCTTGGAGCTCGTCTGCCTGGCTGTGTGTTTCCTGGACGGGGCCGCCTTTTACAGCTGCTTTTTGTATCTCTGCTTCTGTCTCCTTGAACCCCAGTCGGCCTCGGCAGATGGCCGCTCACACTGAGCCTGGTTCTGCTGGAGGTTTCTTCCTGTTAAAAGGGAGTTTTTCCTCTCCACTGTCGCTACAAGCATGCTTAGTGTGGGGGATTGTATTTGAGTCAATGAGTCAATGCAATCAACTGGTTTTCCTTAGATAGAAAACTTTGTATCAATTTGACTGTATGATCTGGTTGAACTGTAAAGTGCCTTGAGATGACATGTGTTGTGAATTTGGCGCTATATAAATAAACTGAATTGAATTGAATTGAAAGTAATGCGGGTAAATATATTAGCTAGAATAGTGGCATTTTGTTCCACAATCCTTACTGGTAGGTGGCATCCATGCACATTTAAAATGTTTGCCAACCGCGAATAAACCACAAGCGACACTTGATCACAACAACTGAATTGGCTGGTAACATTTTATACGGCACTGTATGGAAAAGTCCTGGTGTTGTTTGCTTCATATTTTGCCTGTCACCTAAACACACTACTTTCTAAGTTTCAGTTCTTTTAGTCAAACAAATATTAAAAAGAAAAAGCTTTTGATAAACACACTAATCCAAAGACTGTTTAAGTTCCTCCTGACTGTCTCCTGTGAGGTTTGGCAGACCTTGTTCAGATGCCAGCTTGTGATGGATTGTTGCATGCAAAAAAATGAGGTTAATACAGCAATGTTATGTGACTCCTGACCATCCGCTAGCACTGCTGCTGGAGGCAGTGACACGAATCAGACTTCCGGAACATTAATAATGAAAGGCTTTACTGTAAGTGAAGACATCTGGCAGTGAGACAATATATCTTCTCTATATCAAGATTGTACTTTATTTGATCACATCCACAATCAGTCAAATTGTCAGCTAACAGCACCTTGAAAAGGCATTCACTTGCTTTGAACTGGTTAACATCTTGACATGCGATTCAGAACTGGCCAAAGGCATAAAAGAACTGAACTTCTGCCCAATAAACAGTCAGATTAAAATTTTCATAATTGTGTAATCAGAATGAGAATGCTTTTAAAATCTACTTGACCACTTGAGACTCAATAGTCTGTCATATTGTTAAGATTTAAATTCATGCCAAGTATGTAACAAGAATCTTAAATTATTGTTTTTTGTATCAACATAGCAAAAATTTAAAGCTTCATTATTATATGTTCTTTGGTTTGATCTCAATCATAGATACAGTAGGGGGGTGCTGGCCTAGTGGTTAGAGTAGTGCGCTTGTGCTCTGAGAACAGGGCAAGTACCCGGTTTGATCCTCACAGTCTGCACTTTCTAGAATCAAATTTCAAAAAATGACAGGTTAAAATGACTACAGCTGAATTTTCTTTCCTTTCTTCTTCTAGCTCTTCCTAAACTTTACCGGCACACCTTTAATTTACTACAAGATATTTCTGTGCAACCACAGAACTTTTTCAAGAGGTAAACAAAGGTTTACCCCCCAACACAGAATTGTAAGGTGTGTGTATCTACTTTTTTGTGGATGTAGCTTTAGCAACATTAGCTGTTAGCCGTGGTTCATTTTCTTCGTCTTTTATGCAATAGGAGCAAATCTACATACTCAACTGCCTGCAAGTGAGTCTCTAGTTGTTGGAATTGCCCCTTTTAGTGGAAAAGAGACAGGACTGGTTATAGCAAGGCGGGCTAATGTCACGGTTCCAGTAGGAATGGCAATACCAAAATTGCTCTTTGTGGACTTTTCTGCCAGCAAGAAGAAAATAACCAAGTCACTTTCACTTTCAGACTGAAGCCTAAAGGTTCAGCTGTGATTCACTCATATACGTTCCTGGTAAAGGTCGGGAGCGTTGTACGGCAGCTTTTCCTCCTCTACCTAATATTCTGGCCAAAATACAGCACAAACCGAAAACAGAAAATCCCACTACATGAAAAAGTAGAAAGCTCAGTTGTTTTCTGCTTGTTCACTACCTCTTCACATCTTTCCAAGAGTGACAGAAATTTCTTTCCAAGAGTTTATGACAGATACTCAAAAAGTAGCTAAATGTTTATATTTGTGGACCCTACTCGGTAGGAGATGTCCCTCGGCGCCATGTTTTCCTGGTAGAGTGGTCCACGTAGTTCAAAATTTTCGAAAGTGTGCATGCCATGAATGTGTCTGAACCAGTCAAGCGTATGTCAAACCTAACACTAAAATGCATTTTAATATAACAAATTAGATTTCTGGGTGAGAAATGCTTTAAGGTTTAACTCAGATTAAACAGCACCAAAAAATGTGTGCATATTTTTAGTAAATAATTTCGTTTTTGACTCTTATTTGTTTAATGAGAAAAGGATGTTGGTACCAATTCAGTAGATTTTAGTGGTACTAACTCATGCGTCAATGTTTTTCATTCCATTGCTTAGTTTTGTTATTAGAAGTCAGCAAACATTAGTAATGCAGTAACTTGTGCACTTATGCAGGTTACTACAAAGCGTCACCTCAACCTAATGTTTACTTTGTCAAACAATATATATAATATATGTGGGTTGTCATAACATCTGTTGCTTTTAGGTATCTCACAAATTAGCATTAACCAGAGCCTGATTTACTGTCTTTGGCACTGTTTTATAGTTGCCTTGTTGTTACTATGGCTACCGCTTGCAACGCTCAGGTTGCAGTGGTGGGTGCAGTTCTTTCCAGCGATATTCATTGTTGCTCGTTAAAGAGGTTTTGATTTGTGTGAAAACGAGAAAATGTCAGCATTCTCAGTGCTGACATCTGATAGCCTCTCATTGGAAAACTGGATCAGGGAGAAAAGGGTTTCATTACCACTATTTCCAGTCCGATCGATTGATATATATATCTATCTAAGAGGAGAGACTGAAATATCAGTCCGAGGAATGTTAGAGGTGCTGTAAAAGATGCTTTCAAATGTTTGAAATACATTAACTTTATCATAAAGATGAAATATCAATACTTATTTCTGACCATTGGGTGATTGCACCACATATAAAACCATCAGCGTTATCACATCTCAGCTACTTAATTTCCTTTGGTTGTGTTAAAAGGTTAGCACTGTTAATACCTGACTTCCTTTGAAATTCAGTCCTTTAATACTCTGACTCATTTTCTCTCATACTCCATGAAAATCTATGTGGGTTTCCAGAAAATGCAACTCTGTTTTTTTATTTTGCTCTTTACCTAAATTATGAGCGAAGGGCTCCAAGAGAAATATTTCCCCTCGTTCCTGATCAATTCTGTTGGAGATGCAATCCCAGCTCATGTACATTTAACTATTTTGAACTTCAATTCTGAAGAATGTTGCTTTTTCCAGTTCAACATCAGTTTGAAAAAAAAAATAACTACCAGAACAGTGTTTTGTTGTTTGAAATACATCTCAAAATGCCCATATTTCATCTTCTTTCAGAGCATGCAAGCTGCCCGATGTCCGACAGATGAGCTGTCGCTGACTAACTGTGCTGTCGTGAATGAGAAGGATCTGCAGTCAGGACAGTGAGTTGTCATCAGTTATGTGTTTGTCACTGCTAATGCAGAGCAATGCATCTATTGTCTCATCCATCCAAACACAGCCATCTATGTATTTACATATCCATCATCCTGACGCCTGAAGGAAAGAGATAAGACTTGCAATTTCTGATCCATTCAGATTAAGATAATAATGATTTATATTGAAGGATTTTTTGTGAGATTGTTTACTTGTAAATAAAAGAATGAGTAGCTAATTTGATTATAGCTATTTACGGATATTGTAGTATTATCTAGTTGTATCAAATGAAAACAAAAGTTAAAAAACAAACATCCCAACCCCTATAAAGGGGAACAGAGGACCTTGCCTATTTAGCCAGGCCAACAATTCCCTTTAACAACACCCCTTTCAGAGACATAGACAGGTATGGGGTATTGCAGACTAACAAAAGTAGACAAACCACCCCCATTCCAAAGGGGTGGACCTGTTTGCATTTTTTCTAAACAAAAACAAGGCTTTGTTGGGCTATTGTATAAAACCTCGAACTCAACGCTATTTCTGACATTTTGAATTGAAAAAGCTTCCTGGATGAGAAGCGAAACGTCTTGGTTTTTTAACTTATTTAGGAAAGACTATGACCTGGATGACTGAGAATCTTCACCGCCATAGTTGTGTCAAAGTTATTTCTTCACCAGGATTAGGTTTCCCTTTAGAAGCACAGGCTTTGGTTTGATCAACCAAAAGCCACTGAAAGAAAAATATATAGAAAGACCAGACATCTCTACAGATGTTGCCATGCATATTTAGAAAACCTGATAATACAGCCAGAACACAGGTGATTGGGAGAGTGGCAGATGCTTCTGCTTACTCTAGTTAGCAGAGTGGAGTAGAGAAGAGATTAGTTAACAGATAGCCCCAAAAAACAAACCAACAGGCATTGGACATGAAATGTACCTTTTGGATGCTCCCTTTCTCCAACATCTGAATCAAATATCTCATTAAGTCCTTACAGAGCTGCATGAAAGGCTGATGAGGAATTAAGTTACTTAATTTGTTTGTTTTAGCAGGGATGCATATAAAAGTTGCATGACAGTAGAGAGCTTGATATGATAGAGTTGCATGATAAAGGACTGGGCTTGGTCACCCCTTCCACAACTCATTGGGTCAGGGTTCACTTAAACCCAAAGAGAGTAAAGCCATGAGCACATTTAGGACAGGGCAGAGATTGAGCAATGGCTTGAGAGAGGAATTAAAAAGATGTATATCTTAAACGTGAAAAAGCAACATTAAAGAGAGGAAGGAGGACTTTAATTTGATCTTTTATCACCTGCTCTGCAGCGCTGACTCATCAGCCTAACCTAAGCCTTTCAACAAAAACAACTTATATGAAATTTTTAGCGTTCAGATCATCAAGCCCCTTCCATCTGAAGAATGAGATAAATAGAGAGTAGACTTTCTCTGACTCATTTGTTTATACTCTCTATTGTTGATGACTTCAATGGCCCATTAGTGTTGTATAAAAGTCATCCAAAAAGCTTAAACAGGGTTTGTTGCTTTTCTTTGCAGACATGTGACGGTGAAAACTACACCAAACCACAAGTATGTGTTTACAGTCAAGACCCATCATACTGTAGCGCCTGCAAACATCGCCTTCAGCCTGCCACAGGTACAGACACGCAAACACACACACCCCCAAACACCCCTACACACCAATCCTTCAGGCTCACATCATAAGTTTTCTTCTTCTTTTGCAGAGGAAATGGGCTGGTCTATCCATTGGTCAAGAGGTGGAAGGTAAACACTTTCTTGCTTTTTGACTCAATCACTATCTGATGTTACAGTAAACAACAATTCACAATGTTAGGATGTTAACTCATACCAGGACTGAATGTTTAGAATGTTAATGCTGCAATATGCTTTTCTTTAAATAGATAGTAAAGACATAAAAATATTTAAAGAGAGACAACTGATGTCTAGACCTTTAAATTATGAAAAATAACTAAATATAGTTTCTCGGCGCAATCAGTGTCCAACTACAACTTTGACAAGTCCAAGCAGTGTATTGGCGCCATAACAATCGAAATTGACTTCCTGCAAAAGAAGAGCACCGACTCCTCTCCCTATGACTCGGACAAGATGGCCGCTGAGTTTATCCAGCAATTCAACAACCAAGCCTTCTCTGTCACCCAGCAGGTTGATATTCCATAGCTGTTATTTTCTTTTCACGCTACCTAATTCTAATAATTACGTTTTTTAACATTATTTTTCCTGTCTCCATTATTCAGTTAGTTTTCAGTTTCTGCGACAAACTTTTTGGTGTGATGGTGAAGGATATAGAGGCAATGGACGCCAGCATCCTGAAAGGGGAACCAGCTATTGGAAAAAAGCCCCAAAAGGTACTTGATCTTGAGTAGAAATTCAAAGATGCAGCACAAGAGAGTAAGAAATAATGTAAATTACAACTGTGCTACTTTGATTTAGACCCTGATAGACAGCTGCGTGAGTCATCCGTAATAAGAGTTTATGATTCAGGGAATAAACTGATTGCTCAGAGACACATTATTAGATTTAACTGGGTAAACTCCAGAGAGCAAGATGGAAATTAACTAGGAAAGGTAGAAAGATCCAGATATGATTGAGTCATTTTATAATTATTAGAATATGAGTCTATAGAGATATTCAGTTCTATATCTAAATAATCTATCTTTATGTAGAATATGAGGTTTATTTATGAGCATAAATGAGACATTAGGACTATCCTGCAAAGGTCGCCTAAAATATATTAGATGTCTTTATTATACAGCTAGTAAACAAGCTTTAACTGTAAGCAAGATATAAAATTAAATGCTTTCCTATAATTTACATATTTTACATAATCTAAATGGAAACTTATACAGCTTTCAGACTGCCTGAAAAACCAGATAAAACCCGGGTACAATCGGCCTTTAGTGGCAGTGGTAACAGCATGTCTACACTGGTCAAACTACTCAGCAAGCGACCCATGTTACAATCTCCCAGGCTCTGATTGGCATGCACTGACAACAACAGACCCGCTAAATTACGTGACATCATTCACAAACTGTGCGAGTCGCCACTGATCTACAAGCCGTAACAACTCTGTTTACATGCGTTAAACATGGTGCAGCATTGGTAAGATGGATTGAGACAGACAAAAGATCAAAATAATAAAGAATGCTGAAGCTTGCTCCCGTTGTTACTACTCAAATTAAGTTTTTCCCTCCTTGAAAATAGTAAGCTTACTAAACTATAATGTATTAAAGGTTAATAATGTATTCCCTGAGAAAATAAATGCCTTAAAATCCTTTCTGTTTTATCACTTTTCTGTGCCCCTCTGTGCCAGAAATAGGAATCCTACACTATTCCCGGGCTTTTTTTTTTTTCGGATTTAAACATGAATCTAGTCTTTTTTTAGTTTTATGTCTTCATTTTGTCTTAACATTATGGTATATAGTGCGGAACCTAAAGGAGAGACAACTAAAATGTAGGTAAACATGGTTTATTCATATTTTGCCAGGCTACTCTGAGTATGTCCGATGATGATGTCAGACAAGCAGTTTAAGGGAGAAAATGTAAAGAGCAACAAAATTGTTTTAGAAAAGTCATAAAACATTTTTAAAGATGTGTATTATAATATTTAATGGATTAAGGATAGAAATAAGTAATTTTACTACTTCAATTACATTATTTATGGAAACCCGGATCTATATCTGGTTGCACAAATGAGCTGATGGTACGCATTGTGCTTCAGGGACGGATTGGGTAGTAACACCGGTCCATGTTGCTCTCCATTATTTAACTTCCTTCTTTCCGTCGCACTGATGATATCATCAACGCTCACCCAGCGTGACGCCATCTATAGATATGCAGTGGTGGGGGACACTGGGTACGCAGTTTTCAAGGGTCCGACTCAGCTTTTTGGTGAAATGGTAAAATAGGTGATTGAAGGTTAGCGGGCAACCCTTTTTTGAAAAGCGAGAGAAGATGGATGGATGGATGGATGGATGGATGGATGGATGGATGGATGGATGGATGGATGGATGGATGGATGGATGGATGGATGGATGGATGGATGGATGGATGGATGGATGGATGGGTGAACTTAAATAAATTCAACCTTTACAAAATATACAGACCTTAGCCTTTTTATTAGAGATTTTCTGCCTATTTACATTTGATTCATATTTAGTGGACAATTATTTAACTTCCTTGTGGTCAGAATTACCCTTAATGTTTAACAGAATTTTGGTTATAAAGCAGAATTTGATATATGTAATGTAATAACTGCAAAGCGTGTAAAAAAATAAAAAAATATGTCTAATTTTGCAACTGAGTAATGTGACTAACTCTGACTTCTCTGACAGATCGACGTCGGTCTAATGGTGGGAAACAGCCAGGTCATTTTTGAAAAGGCAGAGAATTCTTCTCTCACACTAGTTGGTACGATCTGTTTGAAATCCTTCCCTCTAAATAAATGGCTTGTGTTAACTATCTGATAAAAGAGAAGACAGATGCAGCATTAGTAACATGGGCAACCACTGAGTCTACTTCCTTCTCAAGATGGCAATAACAACAAACCAAATTTACCTACTGCCTGCAAACATAGAAATGCCAAAAAACTGTAAAATGTAATGATATTTTTTAGATTAAAAATTTAGGTTTTAGATTATTAAATGATAACATTTGGGTTTTTAAACAGGTAAGGCAAAGACCAAGGAGGCCCGGCAAACAATCATTAACCCTGACTGGAACTTTGAGAAAATGGGAATTGGAGGTCTGGACAAGGAGTTCTCTGCCATTTTCCGCAGAGCTTTTGCTTCCAGGGTTTTCCCGCCTGATATTGTGGAGCAGATGGGTAAGACACAGCTGATTTTTGTTCCTTTTCATGTCTGTAATTACAGTATAAATGACATTTGGGATAAAATAAAATAAAAGTTTTCATGTTTTCTTTGAGAACGAAGTTGGGAATGAATATGTGATATAATGTAATATGATTATTAAAAACACATAACCTTTTTCTTCCTTTCATTTCTTCCTCTGAAACACCTGAATTTTCCTTTATTTTTCTCTAGTTTTGTTTGGTTTCTTATTGTGCTTCTTTTTTTCTGTCCAGGTTGTAAACACGTGAAGGGGATCTTGCTGTTTGGGCCACCAGGATGTGGAAAAACATTGATGGCCAGGCAGATTGGCAAGATGCTTAACGCCCGTGAGCCGAAGGTGGTCAACGGTCCAGAGATCCTCAACAAGTACGTGGGAGAGTCTGAGGCCAACATCCGCAAACTATTTGCAGATGCAGAGGAGGAGCAGAAGAGGGTGAGAGAACTTTCTATCTTCTCATCCACTATTCAGTCCCTACTGTACACATAAATAAGGCCAATGTCATTCTTCAGTATTTGTTGGATCTCTAAGTGTCAATTTGTATAGATATGACCCCAACACTGCAGGGGGGTACATTTAAGGAGCAGGGATCAAACAACAACAGCAGTGTTGGGAAAGTTCTCTTTCTACGTGAACTAGTTCACAGTTCAGTTCACACATTTTAAAATGAACTAGTTCAGTTCATAGTTCACAATTCCAAAAAACGAACTAGTTCATAGTTCTTTTTTTTTCATATATTGCTCAATTACACCATAGCCTACTGTAGAACCACAGACAGCAATTATTTTATCAGTTGTAACTCTGAAACTGTGCGTCAGATTTCATCTTCATATCCAGTTTTGAATCCTTATCCAACCAGGGTTTACATTAGCATTGAGGGGACAGCATTTCCCCATTGTTGCTTTAATGCTTTGTTGCTGTCCATTCACTTCACACTAGTAGCAGCTGCAGCTTTCACCCCTACAGTATATTCTCAAAAACATCAGGAAAAATGTGCTGCTTGAATGGTCTTTTCTATGAGTAATTATTAAAAGAAAAATAGGAAAGTAGTATTTAAGGTGCAAATGTTTTTTTTTTTATTTCAATAATTTTTTCCATTTGAAATTCCATTTCAATACATACTAAAAAGGAATACTGGAATCCTGGAAAATTATACCAGGCAGGTTTAACAAACAAGTTACATGGATAGTAAAACCCTCAAGAACAGGGGTCTTCTATGTTTTCCAGACCAAGGACCCCCAAACTGATGGCGAGATGGAGCTGGGACCCCCTATTTATATATATTGTATGAAATTGTGTCCTATAGTCACTCTATTACAGATGGAGTAATGTAAAGAAATTAATTTCTCCCTGGGATTATTAAAGTTTTTCTGATTCTGATTCCTGGTTGTTGTGAAGGAAACGGTGCCCAGCTTGAAAGAGCTCCTGTGTGTCGCTGAATGTGAGCATTGATGACTGAAAGACATCTTCTGCCTCCATTTATCTGTTTACTACAGTGTGTTGATTTCATGTTAATGAGTATTTAAAGACATTTCAATTAGTGGGGAAAAAAATATGCAGGGGGGAATATAAAAATATCAACTAACCATGCAGACCCTCATGCAGTACCTCCGTAGACCCCCTAGGGGTCGCGGATCCCCCGTTGAAGACCGCTCAAGAAGATTTTACTAACACAAACTGAGGGACCAGGCTGAGGTAGGAATTTAAGGTTACTGAAGTGCGGATTTTTTTACTGAAAGCCGGCGGGCAAACTTGTTGCCATCATCCTCACCGACCACCTGGTCATGAAACTGTTTTAAGTCGCCTCCATGCTGCTGTGGCTTCCACGCTGCATTTTGTTTTGATGACGCACGCGGCTGTAGGCTACGACACTGGTAGCTGGTGTTGCCAGATTGGGTGTTTTTCCCACTACATATCAAGGCCTGTTTATGGTGTGATTTAGCCGGGGTTTCGCCTGGAGGGCTTTATAGAAATCTGGCAACCTATTGAACGGAGTTGAACTGAGAGAGCGTGCCGTTCACAGACACCAGAATGAACGAGTTCACAATAACGTTCATCAGGCAATAATGCAGTACGTTCAGTTCACGTTCGCCCAAAATATGAACGAGTTCATGAACTTTCGTTCAATGAACGCGTTCAGGCACAACACCGAACAACAGTACATCAAAAAATCCACGAAACAGCTGGATTACAAATAAAGAAATGTACTGAAAAGATGGCTGATCTGGTGTTGATGTATCCTGCTTGGTTTTGATATTTTAACATGTGGGGTACAACAGACAGCAACACAAAATTGATCGATATGTGTGTGAAATAAAGTCCTGTTCTCAGTGCTGTTGGTCTTCTGTGAGGCATTGCAGCATGGTCCGGAGTTCTTTAGTAGTTGCACCATCTGGTTTACTGTTATTTTAGGGGTACTTCCAGTAGATGGTGCCATTCCGGTTTTTTTAGTCAGCAAATTGTGTTGCTGGGGTTCTGTCTCTAAAAAGACGGACACTTTGAGTATATAGCCTTATTAATAATCATAATCAACTGGATTTAGTCTGTTTGGTCTAGGCATTTGATGTCACAATATTTAAGCAGAAGTATTTAAACTAAATAGAATAGTTGCAAATCCAGATGCAGAAACAAAATAATTTAAATGATTTAAAATAGAACCTCTAAAAATTCAGATTTAGATGTCTACCTGCCTTGGATGACACTATAGTAGGCTCAGCTTCTTTGGTACTGGTAGGTGTTTATCCTGTGAAAAGTTGTGACCTTTGACACACTTTCGACGTATGACACAGCTGATGCGTGGAAGACTCTGAGGGGATTCAACCCAAGAAAGGCCCCGGGCCCCTGGGCGGGTGTATGAGGAGTGTGCAGGTCAACTGGCTGATGTCCTTAAAGAGATTTTTAACATGTCGCTGGACCAATCCGCAGTGCCATCAAGCTTAAGTCTGCCACCATCATTCCAGTAGTTGTTGCACTGACTCCCATCATGATGAAGTACTTCGAAAGTCTGGTTAAAGAACACATAATCTCCAGTCTCCCCCCAGCATTTGACCCATCCCAGTTTGCCTACCGACGGAGCCGCTCCACTGAAGACACCATCTCCTCTGCTCTTCACCTGAGCCTGGCACACCTGGAGGAGAAGAACACCCAAATGCGGATGCTGTTCCAGGACTTCTTCTCAGCTTTCAGCACCATCATTCCACAGCATCTGATAGAAAAAAACTGGAACAGCTGGTCTTCAATACACCACTTTGTAATTTGTTGCTAGATTCCTCACCAACAGACCTCAGTCAGTTTGGGTCGGAGAGAAGACCTCTGATGTCATTACCCTAAGCAAGGGCTCCTTTCAGGGCTGCATCGTGAGCCCCCTGCTGTTCACCCTGATGACACATGACTGCATCCCCAGGTTCACCACCAATCACATCGTGAAGTTTGCAGATGACACCATGGTGGTGGGCCTCATCACAGACGACGACAACCAGCACAGAGAGGAGGTGAGGCAGCTGGTGAGATGGTGCAAAGATAACAGCCTGATCCTGAACGTGGAGAAGATGAAGGAGATCATCATCTACTTCGGGAAGAACCGGCCTAACCACGCTCCACTGCTCATCGACAGCTCAGCTGTAGAGATGGTTAGCAGCACCAAATTCCTGGGGGTGCACGTCACAGACTCAACTGTAAAAACCAGCTTACTTGTCAAAAGGGCACAAAAGTGCTTGTACTTCCTGTGGAGGATGAGGAGAGCCCACCTGCCCCCACCCATCCTCACAACCTTCTACAGAAGCACCATGGAGAGCGTTCTGACCAGCTGTCTCACTATGTGGTGTGGAGGCTGCAGGGCCTCAGACTGGAAGAAGGTGAGAAGAGTGATGAGAACATCAAGAGGATCATCGGGGCTCCACTTCCCTCCATAAAAGACATTTCATCTTAGCACTGCAGGTCCTGAGCCCGTAACATCATCAATGAGCCGTAAACACCTACCCCCACCATGAACTGTTTTCCCTGATGCCCTCTGCGAAGAGGCTTTGCAGCATTCGATGCAGGTCCAGCAGGGTCTGCAACAGTTTCTTCCCCACTGCCATCAGTGTACTGAATTGTTGGGAAAAAAATCTCTAAATCATGTCACAAATTCTGCATCACACTGATAACACCAAACCAAAACTACTGCATATTTGCCCCATTTATATTAATGCTCTAAATTTCCATATCAGTCCAAGTTTTGCACCATGTTTTTTCTCCAACACTGTTCACATTTGATCACTGCTGCACTTTACAGAGTGGAAATGTTAATTTACTTTCTGAAAAGCTGCACTAAACTAAATTTGGTTTTGTATACGCTATGTATGTATACAAAATGAAAATAAAAGTTGTCTAAGACCTTTTATTCTGTGGGCTGTGCCCAGTGATGGGAGTAACGGCGGTGAAAGTAAGTTAGTAACACTGTTACTTTTTTTTAGTAACGAGTGATCTAACTAATTACTTTGACTGTAACTATGACGCAGTTACCACTGCCAACAACCCGTTACTGCACATTACTCAGGTCGCACAATTAACTTTTTTTTTAATGATAGGGCTTGTGCGTGCCTTGTCATGAGAGAGGGGAGTATGAGATTTGCTGATGTATAGTGAGATCACGTCTGTCAGTTGGGTAGGTGGGTGTTTCCGCTGGCGGGTGTTAACGTACAGCACACACAGAGAGATGGAGAGTGAGGATGACAGCAGCAAAATAGCATTTTCCAGATGGAATCTTACTTCTTTCCTACTCTTCCTCTGTTTTTCTTGTAGTTTATGTATTTTTCTCCTTTTTCCTTGTATTATCTTTGTCTGTCCCTTTTCCATGTTTATTTTCTCTATTTATGTCCCTTTTCCCTTCTTCTTTTCCTCTCCGTGTTTTCTTTTGTCCCTTTTCTTCATAGCTTTTGTATTTTCTCTATTTTGTGTCAAATATCTTATTTATGAAGTCTGAGCCTCTGCAAACCCTCCAATGAATCCATCCACTCTGAATGAAGAACCCCCAAAGCCTGCGGTTTACCTGGAAATTTAACATGTAAAAAAAACAACAAAAAACAATGTAAAATCAGATGTCAACCTTATTGTTGCATTTGCTTCACATTCTAGCCGCTGGCACAGTTAAGAAACTAGTCACTTATGGTAACTTTGACAGCAGCTTTCTACTTCTTGTCTTTGTTCAGAATTAATAGGGTAGCATATTTTCATCTACTTCATGTTATTCTTTGGCTTTATTTTCTCTCTTCTTCTCATCTCTCATTTTAGTGACATTTGTTTTAATATGTTTTGCTGTTTCTTCCTGGACCAACATCAGTGAAATGGACTGATCCTGGTATTAAGTATTAACGACACCTCCATGAGGAGTTTTATGGAGCCCTCAGGAGCTGGAGGCCCTACGTAAAACAGTATGTTTTTGTTGAATGGTAGCTTCACTCCTAGGAATGGAAGTGTTGTCTACTTCTTTTTAGGAAGCAGGACACAAATGTGATGCGTAAAAGGAAATCCATTAAGTTAAAAATGGTGGTTTCTCAAAAGTTTCACAAACATTTTTCAGGCTGTAAATGTTAAATGTTGGTAATATGAATAAAACTGAAAATACATTATTTTTGTTTTCAGCTTGGTGCTAACAGCGGCCTCCATATCATCATCTTTGATGAGCTGGATGCTATCTGCAAGCAGAGAGGAACTGGTGCCAGCAGCACAGGCGTGCACGATACGGTGGTCAACCAGCTTTTGTCAAAAATCGATGGCGTGGAGCAGCTTAACAACATCCTGGTTATTGGTAGGGACATGAACAAGGCCTGTGGACATGCATGATCTATAAATACTGGTTCTGATTAGTTGTGGACCTTTGAACTCAGCTCTGATTAACACTAGAAAAAGACCAAATTGTGGACCTAGAATGAACATTATAAAGAGTTCGGGCTCTATAAAAATGACGAAAGCAATTTTGTTCCAAGGTTTTAAAGTTTTGAAAATTAAACCTTTTCAGGTGTGTTTTGAAAAGCACTGACTTCACAAACTGAAAAAGAAGGTACATTTTGCTGTGTTTCTAAACACCAAAGCCAAGAATAATAATAATGCATTCAATAACCTTTAAAATTTTGCTAAATTTTTATTTTACATATAAAAAATACAGCTGGAATTGAATTGATTTAAGTTTAAAGAATCTGGGTAGATGAATGAGGTAGATGCTAAACGTTAGAATGGAAAGAAAAAGGTATTTTGTCACAACTGACCACATCTCTCTCTCTTTTATTTTATCTTTATTTCTCTCTCTCTCTCTATCTCTCTCTCTCTCTCTCTCTTTGCAGGAATGACCAACAGGCCTGATCTCATTGATGATGCTCTCATGAGGCCTGGCAGGTTTGAGGTGAAGATGGAAATCGGTGAGTTCCTACATACCATTGAATGATGTTAAGGCTTTATATCCGATCTACCATAATCATAATCTTTTGTAGGCTTTCTGTTAGTCAGCATGCACAGAGCAAACCTACAATAAATGCATGAAACTAGAGGTCTGCTTAAAGGGCACATACAAGCACTTTTGTTTAATACACACATTTGAAATACTCTCCACTTGCATTCTGAAAATTTCTTGCATGTGGATTAGGACCATCAGGACCCAATATCTCCCAATCATGAGTACTTTTATTCTTTCTAGCCGGCTTACCATGCGCCGCCCGTAGCCTTGGAAGGAAACAGTGATATTTTAAGAGGTGGGATTTCCTGAAGTAGCCAATTACAGACAGTATTCTTTATCAGATTGGTACCACCCTCAGGGTGACAAAGACCACACAGAAACAGGTCCACATGTGATAAGAAGAGAAACTACAGGTGCATAAAAGCCACCAATGTAGCAAAGAAGAGCCATACTCTCCTGAGTGTGAAATATCAGGGGATAGTTGGTAATGAATTTATCACACCTAAAACATTAGAAATGTGAGTGGAGAGTAGTTTGTTTTGAATAAAACTGCTCAAAAAAGTATTTATTTCACATGTGCATTTATGGCCAAATTCTGACCTCATATATGGGCCAGTGACCATCCACATGGCCCATCTGTACAACGAAAAAATGGAGAGGTCTGGCTGCCGACCTACACTGTCAGGACTCTTCGTTGCACACCTGCATAATAGGGTTTCCTGCACTATACGGACCCGACGTTAATTCCGGATATTTTATCTGAATCCTTTTGGAATAGCTCATAGCTCACTTAAATGTGCCTTTTCCCTTCTTTTCCCCACTTAAAGACCAGAAAAACTGTGTTCTTTCATACAACATTTGGGTGATTTTCTTTTTGTCAACGTGGAGGGTGAGGTTGCTTAAGAACCCATATATAAGTGAGGCAGAGATGAGTTCCTGTAGGTTTAATGGAGAAAACCTAAGGCGAGGATCCAAAAACCTCACTTAGGGAACCAGAGACGAGGAAGCAACAAGCAAGGAACCAGCACTGATGAACTGCAGAGGTGGTGTATATAAGAGGAACAGAGCAAAGGATGTGTAATGAGCTGAATAAGGAGCAGGTGTGAGTGGAACTAACTAGAAGGAAGCCAAGGGGAAAGGAAACAAGCTCGAGGGGTCAACAGAGAGTAACTAAAGACTGCTTGAATATAATGGAAAATAAACCAAAGATCAACAAAACAGAATAGCTGAAAACTAAAAACTCAGAGTCCCAAAAAGGAAGAATCCATAACAGGTTTACTTGTTAAAATACATACAAACACATATATAAGAAATGTATAAGAGATTATAGATATAACTTATTAACTACATGAAAAGACAAAATTAGTTCTATTATGAAGACCCAGGAAATAAACATGAAAACATAAAATATGTCCAGTACACTAGCTTTTATTTTATTTTGCTTTTAATTTGAAAGGCTTCAATTTCTGGTTCTGACAGTGCAGGAGAACTCACAGTGCAGGTCTGCATCCAAGGGTCCTGACAGGGTGCAGCTCTTCAGCTAGACTCCCTTGAGAAAATGGCCTTCAGCAGTCTTGTCTCTAGCCTTCTTGTAGGTAATTAGCTTTCCCTAAACCAATCAATGTCACTGCCCAGTAGGCAATAGCACAGCTAGAGGGAGAGACAGTGGACCCATGGCCTCCCCTAGCCAAACACTGCCCACCAAGTGTAGCCCCTACCTGGGGATTTTTTTTCCCATGTGGATGTACTTCACTACTTCTGGAACAAGCAATGCTCTAAACTGCTGCCTTAAAGCGTGACAGCAGTGATACAATCATGTATAATTTCTTACTTTTAAAGTTAATACATTGATAAAAAATTGACAACAAAATTAAAGAAATTAGTTATCATCAACAGTATGCTACAAATAAAGAGGACTAATATAGGAGTCTTGGTCTTTTAAAATTTAATTCTTAAGCTTTATGTGGGGATTTTGTCTCTGCAGTCATCAAGCTGTCTATGTCAGCTTGATGACTAAAGATAAAGGACAACAGCTCAACCAATTCATTATGTAGGAGTACAAATTAATTTATACAGCACAGATGTGTGTAATTTTAATGGCAAGAAATTCTGATCTACATTTATTTAGAAAAATAGATGTGTGTTCATTTTCCTGTTGCTTTATTGTGATAAATGTTGATTGGCTGTCAGTTCTTGGCCACCCCTCAGTGCAAATTGGTCCCTGCCAAGCCAGCCAATGAACATTTTCTAGCTCATCTACTGCTTGCATCATTTTTGCATCTTCTGCATGTTTAGAGATGACTCAACAAACATCCTAGGATGAGACCTGTGCAAAAACCACCAGGGTTAGTGTATAAAAACATGATGGGGAAACCAAAGTTGTTTCAGTTTTAGAAATATTTCTCTCTCTCTCTGTTCCTTCTATATCTCTATCCTCATCCATCCTCTAGGTCTGCCTGATGAGAAGGGACGTGTCCAGATCCTAAACATCCACACCAGTAAGATGAAAAACTACAACCTACTGGCTTCAGATGTTGACATAAAGGAGCTGGCCGCTGAGACGAAGAACTACAGCGGCGCCGAGCTAGAGGGGCTTGTCAGGGCTGCGCAGTCCACCGCCATGAACCGACATATCAAGGTCCCTTGACTTTTTTGACTTCTCAGTGTCTCAGTTTAAGAGGGCTTCAGTTTTGTAGGGGAACATATCTTCAGTGGGGCGAAGAAAGTATTTTAGCAGTCACCGATTGCACAAATTGTCTTTCTCATAAATTTCAGAGAGGTCTTTAACTTTCCTCACAAGTACCCTTAAACTACAGGAGACAACAGAAAAAAAAAATCCAGGAGATCATATTTTATATTTTTAAAGAATATATTTGTTCATTATAGTGAAAAATAAGTATTTAGTGATTTACAAAAGTTTAATTTAATACTCCATAGTATAACCTTTGTTGGCAGTGACAGAAGTCAAACATTTCCTGTAAGTCTCCACAAAGTTTGCTCACCATGTAGCTGATAATCCTCCATGCAGATCTCTAGAGCAGTGCTGTTTAAGGCTGACAGGCAACACTGACTTTAAACGCCCTCCACAAATGTTCTGGGTTGTGGTCTGGACTGGAGACAGGCTTGGTCACTGCAGTGGTGTGTTTGGAATCATTGTCATGGTAGAGATACCAGCCAAGTTCATTCTTAAATGCTCTCTCTGATGGAAGAAGATACCCCTTAAAATCTCACCATAGAGGGTCCTGTTCATGTCCTTAAGTCTAAAGGAAAGTGAAGACATTTGCAAAACAGTGAAAGTGTAGGCATATATATCCCTCTGTTTTGACTGATTTAATTTTCTTTTTCAAAAATATCGACCGAAATTGTGAGATACCTTGCTTTCATGGTAGATACTGAACATCTAACCCTTCTCAAAAGGAACAAGGTAAACGTAGTTTGACAGATGAATAGTTTAAAAGTGGTGGGGGTGTAATATTTATTATTAGCCAACAACAGCAAAGCAGTAGAAGTCTGTAGATGTCGCAGTGGCTCAGGCGAGTCCTTTATCTGATCTATGAAATTTTGTTGTATGTATGCTGTACTGTATATACACTATATTGCCAAAAGTATTTGCTCACCCATCCAAATTATTGGAATCAGGTGTTCCAATCACTTCCATGGCCACAGGTGTATAAATTCAAGCACCTAGGCATGCAGACTGTTTTTACAAACATTTGTGAAAGAATGGGTCGCTCTCAGGAGCTCAGTGAATTCCAGCGTGGAACTGTGATAGGATGCCACCTGTGCAACAAATCCAGTCGTGAAATTTCCTCGCTCCTAAATATTCCACAGTCAACTGTCAGCTGTATTATAAGAAAATGGAAGTGTTTGGGAACGACAGCAACTCAGCCACGAAGTGGTAGGCCACGTAAACTGACGGAGCGGGGTCAGCGGATGCTGAAGCGCATAGTGCGAAGAGGTCGCCAACTTTCTGCAGAGTCAATCACTACAGACCTCCAAACTTCATGTGGCCTTCAGATTAGCTCAAGAACAGTGCGCAGAGAACTTCATGGAATGGGTTTCCATGGTCGAGCAGCTGCATCCAAGCCATACATCACCAAGTGCAATGCAAAGCGTCGGATGCGGTGGTGTAAAGCACGCCGCCACTGGACTCTAGAGCAGTGGAGACGCGTTCTCTGGAGTGACGAATCGCGCTTCTCCATCTGGCAATCTGATGGACGGGTCTGGGTTTGGCGGTTGCCAGGAGAACGGTACTTGTCTGACTGCATTGTGCCAAGTGTAAAGTTTGGTGGAGGGGGGATTATGGTGTGGGGTTGTTTTTCAGGAGCTGGGCTTGGCCCCTTAGTTCCAGTGAAAGGAACTCTGAATGCTTCAGCATACCAAGACATTTTGGACAATTCCATGCTCCCAACTTTGTGGGAACAGTTTGGAGCTGGCCCCTTCCTCTTCCAACATGACTGTGCACCAGTGCACAAAGCAAGGTCCATAAAGACATGGATGACAGAGTCTGGTGTGGATGAACTTGACTGGCCTGCACAGAGTCCTGACCTCAACCCGATAGAACACCTTTGGGATGAATTAGAGCGGAGACTGAGAGCCAGGCCTTCTCGTCCAACATCAGTGTGCAACCTCACAAATGCGCTTCTGGAAGAATGGTCAAAAATTCCCATAAACACACTCCTAAACCTTGTGGACAGCCTTCCCAGAAGAGTTGAAGCTGTTCTAGCTGCAAAGGGTGGACCGACGTCATATTGAACCCTATGGATTAGGAACGGGATGTCACTTAAGCTCATATGTGAGTCAAGGCAGGTGAGCAAATACTTTTGGCAATATAGTGTATAATGGCAAAAAGCACCTTTACCTTTATGATCATTCAATTGTGAAACAAAATCTGTCGGGCTATTGTCCAGCATTGGGACATCAATTTTCAGTGCTATATGGACAAACATGACACAAAAAAACAACTATTATGGGTAAAATGTATATTGCAGTGAATTACCCCTAAAGGTACATTTGAAAAAACAAACTGAATCAATTAAACCTAACTATTTGCCACGTACCTATTTAAATACCGATAAATTATTAGAAAATCTAAAATGTCTTTAACCAAACGTCAACTTTTTCAAACAGTTACTACTTCATCTTTAAGTCTTTGATTACTTGTTCTTCTTCAGGCCACATCTACGGTTGAGGTGGACATGGAGCGGGCAGAGAAGCTGCAGGTCACCAGAGCTGACTTTTTTGGATCCCTCAACAATGACATCAAGCCTGTATGTAACTTTAATGGATCATGTCATGTAAAGTCATTCTGGTCTATAAAGTAGGAAAAAGTGTCAAAGAGCGCTAATCACCATTCAAACTTCATTGACAGGCATTCGGTACAAATCAGGAAGACTATTCCAGCTACGTCATGAACGGCATCATCAAATGGGGCGACCCCGTCAACCATATCCTGGAGGATGGAGAGCTGCTCGTCCAGCAGACAAAGAACAGTGATCGGACTCCTCTGGTGGCTGTACTGCTGGAGGGTAAGATACTTACCTGAGAGACAATAACCGAAGTTAAATAGCAAAAAAATGGCAAACATTCAGATAGCAAACAAAATCACATCTGTCCGCAGGTCCACCTCACAGCGGAAAGACAGCCTTGGCAGCTAAGATTGCTGAGGACTCTCAGTTCCCCTTCATTAAGATCTGCTCTCCTGACAAGATGATTGGAAGCTCAGAGATCTCCAAATGCCAGGCTATCAAAAAGGCAAGTGGAGCAGACAGCTTATCTTTAAATACTCAAGCATATGTCTTTACTTACCGTCCTGTCACCATTCCTCCACCTATTCCAGGTCTTTGATGATGCATACAAGTCACAGCTTAGCTGTGTTATGGTGGATGATATCGAACGCCTGTTGGACTATGTGCCTATCGGCCCTCGTTTCTCCAACCTTGTGCTGCAGGCTTTGCTGGTGCTGCTTAAAAAGCCTCCACCCAAGGTGAGATGTCTTCTGAAAACTAACCACAAAAATCGCAACACAGCCAAGGTGGCTGCACCTTGGAACTTCCCTTCTGGTTCTTTTCCTGGGAGCAAGTTATTTACCACTCTTAACTCAAACTGTGGAAAACCATATAAAAGAGGGCTATAAAACAGGAGTAAAAAAGTAACAAAGTTTATTCCAGGTCAGGTCATTACAGGACAGAGAAATTTCTTGGAGTCGACTCAGCTGTGGGCTAAGAAAACGTCAGCGAGCGTCCAGCAAAGATTGAGCCCCAGACAAGGTCATCTCCTCCTTCTTATACCCCAGGAGTCCATGTGTTGCATCAGGTGGCTGCTTAGCTATCCGTATCAGAAACTGACACGCCATCCATGCCCTGACCTTCATGCATTTTGCCAGATAGCTCTCCTTTATCAATTCGGCTCCAAGATGTGTCCATATCCTTTGTATTTTTAAAGACACAAAGGCTGTCCTGATTAGATAGCCTCCATACACACAGTGTCATCCACCATGTGAAGGAAGAAAGAGTAAACCTAACAAGTTGTTTTATGTTAAACGTTTTAAAACTGTTTGTTTTTTCTTTAATAAATAAGTAAAGGATCAGAGATCAGCCTGTAGATCTAGCTGCTGAAAGATGTACAGATGAGGGTGACCTCTTGCAGCCTTTTGTATACCAATAATGCAACCCTATTATAATCTATAAACAGCTTTTAATGCTGTCCAATGCCCAGTTTACACAGCAAAATTTAAACTTCTCAGGTTATCAGAGTAAATAAAAATGGACGAAGAGAAATAGACAAAGATCATTTGTAGGAATATTTTTTACAAAAAAGAAGAAAACATTACAATAAAAGAAAGTGTTGTTTAAATGTTTATAGACAAATGATCAAAGGCTCTAATTATTAAACTGGTACTTTCTTGTTTTTTCTGCATTTGATTTATGGTTTATTTATGCTTTATGATAGACTACATGTCACATTCAACAAGTGGCATCCTCATCTGCCCCAGCTGCTAGAATATAACAGCAAGGTAATCCAACATGTCGGATATCACCGCTTTGGTATCTGAGTGCCGCTGACTTCTTTGAGCACACCAGATAGACTTAGATGGATTTATTTTGTATACACAAGTGTAGGCAAAAAGAAATCTGTTTTGCTTTTCATCTCCCTCACCACCATTGCAACACCTCATGGTTGACTCTCAACATTTTATACTTAAGGACGCATGAACAAGAGTTTATGCGTCAGATGAGGTCATCAGATGTTATGTTTACTGTAGTTTGACAGCAGCCAGGGCAGCGTGTGAGTTTATCTGACCAGAGTTTACCTATGGGAAGTTAACACTGCACAGCATCGTTTTAAGAGTTTGTTTTTCTAACATTGGGGACAGAGAAGCTGCAAAAAATTTGAGACGTGATGATATAGACCCATGATGATTATGTCCAAATGAATAATTGTTTTAGAATTTCTGCCTAACTAACAAATGAAACGTTGCTCAACAGATAAATCCCAATAAAATACAGTAAGGGTTGTGAAAAGCCCAAATGAAAGGCCTGAATACTCCAGGCCCTTCAGTTTCCACCCTCATGAGGAGGCCTTGCAGATATGGTGCTTTGCAGATGCAGTGGCAGTCTTCCTTATAGTGTCCCAGACATCTTGCTGGGTAAGTTTGGTTAGCGTCAGAAAGTCTTTATTTCAGGATGTGTCACCATAGGAAAACAAAAGGAACATGATCTCTAATATTTTAAAGTGATTTTTTTTCCAGCAATTATTTTTATAGGTGTCCCAATCATACATGTCTCATGCATAATGTTTGTTTATTTATAGTATTGTCAGTTTCTTACCTTTAAATGACCTGCCTTTTCCATCTCAGGGATTGGTATAGCATGTTTTACATAGCACGTATGTGACAAGTTTCATTTCCTATAAAGTGAATCATGTGTTCATCCTGTAGGGCCGTAAGCTGCTCATCATCGGCACCACCAGCAGAAAGGATGTTCTGCAAGAGATGGAGATGCTGGATGCCTTCAGCACCACTATCCACATTCCCAACATCTCCACTGGCGAGCAGTTAGTCGATGCCTTAGAGGTATAGTGAGAGGAATCAAAAACTCAACATAAGTTTAACATTTTTGGAGTACATTTTTATGCAGATGATAGCATCCTCCAAGTGGATGAATAGAGCACATTTTAAGCTTCATCAGTGACAGATTCAAAAATAGCTATTTTATCACTCTTATTTTTTTTGGAAGAGAGGGATTTCAAGCTACTTGAAGACAGTTTTTTTTTGTTTTCAGCATTGCTATAGGTACTGTAAACTTCAGTGGAGGTTTGAAAGCTAACACTAAAAATCTCCACCTTTCTTTGGCCTTTGCAGCTGCTGGGAAGCTTCACTGATAAAGAGCGAGCCAGCATCGCTCAGCAGCTCAAGGGGAAACGGGTCTGGATCGGCATTAAGAAGCTTCTGGTGCTCATTGAGATGTCCCTTCAGGTATAAAAAAGATCAAGTATAAGACATGAATGAAATCTAATTTCTATGGGGTGTGTATAAAATAAAAAAATACATTTCTTTTAGGGTCTTAAAGGCATCAACAACTATTGGCCAAAATATGTTGTAATTTTCCTATTCACTTAAAAACTGGAGTTAATTACTTCAAAAACTATAGATCCTTAATTAGATTTTCTCCCATTCGGGTCATCTTTTTTTTTTATCTCTGCAAAGCCTGCACAGATAAATTGATTTTGTGGTTAGGTCGAGGGAGTGGCAGCCTAGTGGTTAGGGCATAAAGCTTGGAATCCTGAGTTCGTGCCCCACTCCCACAGACTACCACTCTGAATCCCTGAGTAAGGCCCCTAACCCCACACTGCTCCCTGGGTGACGCGTAACGGCAACCCACTGCTAAACAAGGGGATGGGTTAAAGGAGAATTACGGTTTTTAACACTTTTAGCCCATTTTCTGTAGTGTCCAGGATGAAATCGAATGATCGACACCAAAATTTTGACAATTGGTCCTGTCTCTGCTTTTTGGCTCATTTAGAATCCACCCCTGGCTGCTTCAGAATGGCTTCCATAGTGCATGTCCGATAATGTCCTTAAAACAACCTTAAACGTTCTTTTTTTAAAATATGCTACTCACCGGGTCGTCAGCGCTGTTCAATGACGTTCCAAAAAAAGTTTCGTAAAGAAAAAACGTTCCTGTAGGGTTTTATTTAGCATTTTGTAAATCCCATTGAGTTCTGTTGGAATAGTCAATATTCCCCTGCCACCGGAAACGGAAATGGGGCCTGTTTACACAGTTGTAGTCTTTTCGCTTCACTCTGTGTACTCCGACGTCGAGGTGCTAACGTCTCTGTTAAACACTTTAAAAAACTCTGAAAATGGAATACGAAAGGTGGATTCTTGATTCTCGACGTCGGAGTACACAGAGTGAAGCGAAAAGACTACAACTGTGTAAACAGGCCCCATTTCCGTTTCCGGTGGCAGGGGAGTATTGACTATTCCAACAGAACTCAATGGGATTTACAAAATGCTAAATAAAACACTACAGGAACGTTTTTTTCTTTACGAAACTTTTTTTGGAACGTCATTGAACAGCGCTGACGACCCGGTGAGTAGCATATTTAAAAAAAAGAACGTTTAAGGTTGTTTTAAGGACATTATCGGACATGCACTATGGAAGCCATTCTGAAGCAGCCAGGGATGGATTCTAAATGAGCCAAAAAGCAGAGACAGGACCAATTGTCAAAATTTTGGTGTCGATCATTCGATTTCATCCTGGACACTACAGAAAATGGGCTAAAAGTATTAAAAACCGGAATTCTCCTTTAATTGCAGAGAGTTCATTTCTTGCTCTGTACTTGTGACGCACAATTAAAAAGGCTGAAAAAAAAGGAAAATTCAGAGTAAACACAGGAACTCTAAAATCGCCAAAGTTGTTTTGCATTGTATTGTATCTGACTGGTGTAAATTTAGATAATGTCACACTGCGTTGCTGCCATAAAAGTTTCATGAGCCGTTACACATTAAATATCTGTTGAAACAAACAAATTTAATCGGCTTGATCAATTTTTTACTATATTATCTTGAGCTAGCAACATTAGCATAATGTGTAAACAATGTTAATTCAATAATGAATGATTGTTTAAAGCAGAGGTGCTGAAGTCCAGTCCTCAAGAGCTAATATCCTGCAAATTTTTGATACACCCCATATTTCCACACCTGAATCAAATGAGTGACTCGCTACCATGCTTCTGTTGAGCTAAATGAGGGGATTGAATCTTTAGATTCAGGTGTGTTAGAGAAGAGATGCATCTAAAAGCTACAGGATGGCAGCTCTTGAGGACTGGACTTCAGCACCCCTGGTTTAAAGTGAGAGCCAGGCTCTCATGCTAACCATAAACTGGGTCATGTTAGTAACTGGAGCTCTATGTTGCATAACTTCACATCCTCGTTAACATGTCCAAGCAGCAGCAGCCACACAAACACAAATTTCATTAGCAAACTCTCCTCTCTTCCTCCCTTTGTTCCTTCTCATATATATTACCTCCTGTGATTTCTACATTGTCATCAATTCTAATGCAGTCCGGTTCAAATTCAAAAGGTTTACTATTACTCTGTTTTGGCTGGGTAGAGCTAGCACTACAGGACACTGTACATTAAGCAGAATACATTTCAGCAACAGACATCAATAGCCCCTGCGTCATCAGGGGAGAGGCGTGCTGACAGAGCGGTCGCTCATCTTAGATCAGATCAAGCTGCTGTCAGAGAGAATGCAAGTCAACTGGGGCCAGGGGGGGGGCTCATGGGGAATTTGGGGACTCATGAAAGACATTGATATTACTGATGAATTTTCTTTTTATATCAGAAAAATAAAGGAGGAAAAATCTTGTCTGTTTCTTTCTCTTCAGTCAAGGGCCCTTAGAATCATCCTAACTTTTCCCCACATACGGTGCCCCTGATTGGGGCGAATGGTACTTTATGTTTTCAGACACTCTGATTCTGGTGAACTCTTTCCAGAGCTATTTCGAGATAAATTGGCTGCCTGAAAACGAGAAATTTTCACGTTTCTAATTTAATACCTAATTTCGATTTTGTATTGACAGTTAGCAAACTTCCAGAGCTGCCTCTCCGGACGCCTGACTTTAATTCCACCTGGGGGTGCACAAATAAAAAGAAACTACAAACCAGATCCAGTGGATTTACCTTTTATATTTAGGATTTAATATTCCGGGAAAAAAAAGAAAGTTAAAAACAATTCACTGGACTTTGTTTTCAAGTTTGAGGACATTGAAAAAGCTTCCTGGATGGATTTCTGTGAATGAGGAGATATGTTTATCCCAAATGTTCAAATTTGGTCTAAATAATAACAAAAAAATAAATAAAAAAAGTAGTTTGAAAAACTGTTTTGAAAGAAGGACAAAAATCCTTTAGGTTAGACATAACAAAAACTTTCCAATTCACTACAATCTGACAACATTTTTTGACATTAACAAAAAATATATATTTAAATAAAATAAGAATATTGAATAATAACTGTACTTTTTGTAAACAACATTACAACAAAGTTTCCTCTATAGATCATATTCCTCATTATCCCAGTACAATCCCTACATATACTTAATAATGATTATTATTATATACTATATAAATATATAATATCTATATAATATACAATTATGATATAAAGATATAAAAAAAATTCTCCATCATATTAATATTTAAGTACAAAACATATCCAGGTATATTGTATATTTCATCCAATTTCACTCAAGTTTAAATTGTTCTGATTCTGAAGAGATTTGTGTAATATAACTGAAAGGTAATTTTAAAATTTGTTTTGGTTTTTTAAGAAGTTTTAAGAGGACATGTTAGAGATTATTGTGATATTATCTTTGACTTGACTTACATGTGGATAAAATGAGATCTGAGGTGCCTCCTATTAATTCTGACTGCAGCTGTGTCAACGGTCTGACCCAAAATGGCTGCCTCATAGAAACGTCAGCCGTGCTGCTGGCAGCTTTCTAATCGGGCGTCTACGTATTAATGTCTATGATTGCAGCTTGCAGTATGGCAAAAGCAATACTGTCTATGAAAACCAAACAGCTTATTCTTACAGAGTAATGTACTGATATGTTTATAGATATTTATCTTTACTGTATTGTTTACATAGAAAATAAATTAATTCTTAAATAAAGTCTATTGTTACAATAAATACCATTTTTCTAATTTTTGACATCATAACCCTGTAATGCCAAATGTATCATATTTGATACATACGGTTTCTGAAATGTTTTGCGTCTGACACCTTTTGCATAATTTAATGATAAAAACTTTGCTCAAAATCCTATTGTACACAATCAGATATACCTAATAACAGAGGGCAGAAGACTACACAAAAAAATAATCTTGACTTATCGCATAGTAATAAATTATTAATATCAAAAATGTATTTCTGTTTTTTCTTTTTACATATTTTGTTAAAAGGCCAAATAAGGACTTCAAACCAAAAAAAGTAATTTTCTGTTTTGTTTTATTCTTGGATCGGGCTTTAAGGGGTTAAACAGGTTTTTAGGTTAATATTGTGCATTTTTGTATGTTAAGCCATTGCCTCTTTCCACTAATAAATAATGTATTTGTTTTGAATATTTAATGTTCTGAACTTACATATCTGCGTTTTTTTTCCTTTTGCACCATGTTTTTTTTCCCCCCACACTGTTTACATTTGATCACTGTTGCACTTTAAGCAATGGCAAGGCTGGGAAAAATGTACAAAACATAATTTTATTTTGTGTACACTCTGCGTATACTGTACAATTAACCGTAAAATGTGTCTAAGTCTAAGTCTAAAAATCATTCTAACTGAAGAATTCAGATTTCAGTTTGGATCACTAAACTACAACTCCCACAATACAGAGCAGCAGGCCAAGTCAAAAGAACATTTTGCCATGAGTATATATCATTCAAAAATACAAATTAATTTTACATCCTCTACTGGCTTGCTGTTGATCCATATGATTAAACTGTTACTTTATATGCTGTCATGGAAAAGAATATAATAAGCATTGTTTTATAGAGTGGTGCTCTCAATATGTATCTCGAATCCATCTCTAGTAACTGTAGATTGCAAAGTATTGTATCTGATGTGTCAGAAAGTTCAGGTATGTAAGAAATTCTATCTAACGTGTTTGATTTATCAAGGTATTTTGGGTTTAAGCTTTTTTGTCACACATACATCTTTTAGATTATTGAATTAAATGTGCTTCCAGACAGAGAAACAGAACAAATTCAAAAAGATGTCATATGATGCCAGGTTGGTTTGGATAGTTTTTTCAAAACATAGGGAGAAAGAAAAGCTATCCAAATCCATACAGATCTCTGTTTTATCGAGGGATTTATGGATTTAAATATTCACATTAAAGTTCTGTCTAATTCTAGATTGAGGAATCACATAAACACTCTTCAATGTTGCTGGAATAGTTGGTGGTGTTACAATATAATCAGTTCAGATTAGGATTTCTACTCCTAAATCTTTTTCTTTCTCCTTTTGCCTCCAGATGGATCCAGATTACAGAGTGATTAAATTCATGACTCTGCTTAGAGATGAGGGAGCGTAAGTATAATCATACAAGACAATAACATCCATCAGTTAAAAAACTCATACTGCTTCATCATCATCCTCTTCTTTTAATTTGTCTCCATGTTTTTATATTTTTTTCGTTACACTAAGCACAGCACTACATGTGAAGGTTTTGGGCTACAAGAGTAAAACACGTATTACAACCAGTGATTTCTGCTGAACAACTAATCATAACAACTTTATTTTGCCATCACCAGGCTGCATGACGGTGATCAAATCCGAATTTAACCTGTCAGTCCCTCCTTACTGGTAAGACAATCAGTGGTGTGAGGAAACTAGAGCTGGTAGAATCTGTAGTTGGCTAATTAGTTTAGCTTTGAAATGGTACATCTGTTAAAGGAAAGCTCTGTGTTTACACCTTTAAAGCTTTATCTCTCTGCTTCTTTTTTTTGAAAAGAGATCACTCGGGAAAAACTCTTTAAATAACACTTTATAAGTTATATGCATTATATAACCATGAGACATGACAACGGATCTTGATAGAATCGTAATCTTGCTCATTTCAGATAACTTGCTTTGAGTTACAGAAAATCGGCTTCTTACCACAGGGCTCCCTTCTCGTAAAGTGGTCATGATAAATAGTTAGAGAAGCCTTTTATACATCTCCAGTCTGCCACTTCATCACATGATCACATCATACACATTTGCAGATGAGGAGACATCTATGGCTCCTGCTTATTAAATTATGACACTTTGTTTTTAGATCAACGACACCATTCTCATTCCATTCCCAAATATTTGCCACATGCAAAATAAAGATGATAACTGTTTATCCTGACAGAGGAGCTGCTAATTAGATAAGCTACAGGGGAAAACATTAGTTCTGACATGCAACAGGCAGTTAATATTAAATCAACTCACACATCATCAATAATAATTATCCTAACAATCCTTTGATGAATTACTGAGGAGCAAACCTGGCCAACAATGTGATTGAATTTACAAGAATCCCAGAATTATGAGAACATTGTCAGCATGATCAAGGTTGGACATGATGTTATGGCTATAGTTTAGTCGATTAGTTTACTAACATCATCTAACATTATACTGCATTTACTTTCTGCTGATCTTAACCTGTAAATATGAGAGTGAAGAAAGCAGCTTTATTATTTTTGCTCTTGAATTTAGCTTTTGCTTTTAAAGAAGTCATCCCCCGAAAATCAGATTTTTAAGAGATATATGTTGGTCAACAGTTGAGAGAACTCTCTCAACAATAAGCGCTGTTCCCTGTCCTCCTTGATTCGTCATTAAAGCTACAGTGTGTAATAATTACAGGGATATACAGTCAGAAATGTAATATATTATACATAACTATGTAATTTATCATCATCTACGAGCTCAGCCTGTTAACCTTAATATTTGCGTTGCCTTAGAATTCGTTATTTATAATTACATAGGAGCGGGTCTCGCAGCCATGGAGGCAGACATCTTTGCGCTACGGCAGCGCAGAGCCAACAAACTAGCGATTGCGAGATCGCCAAAACGTCACAACGATGTAGAAAAAATAACGCGTATATTTATTATCTTAAGTCTACATGAAATCTATACCCTACACAGACTAATGAAATACTATCTGTAAAATTATCTATGTAAACAAACCTCATCACTTGAGAAGGTAGGTGATGCAGACGTCGTGGAAGACATTTTGTCCCGTAACGCTCGCCGTACTGTTGGGGGGGAGAAGCGGTGAGGGGGAGATGTTCATGTTGCTGCAGTCTGCAGTCTGACTGCTAGATGTCGCTAAAAGTTACACACTGTAGCTTTAATATAAAAAGGGGCTAACTTTAGCCTGCCTTGCTATCACCACGCCTGTTTCTGTTCAACCACAAGGGGCAATTCCACCAATCAGGGATTCACTGGCAGAGCAGTTTGTCAGAGTTCATTTTCACCTTTTTGTGTGAGGGAGCTAAACCATGGCTAACTGCCATTCATGCTAATGCTAAAACTACTGAACGCTCACACATCAAAATATTGTGTGGTCCCTTGCTTAAAAAACAAGAGGCTTGAAAAAAAGCTGCCTCTTTTTTTCTCCTAAAATGATCAAACATTAATGTAAAAACTATTTCAGAATAATTGTAAAAGTAAAATACCAAGTAACAGTAGCATGCTGCGAACCTGCTCTCGTATGGTATCCCAGGGGATCTCCTGTGCTGCACAACTCGTTTTATACATATAAACGAGTCAGGAACGGAATCAGCCCCTGCAGTAATTAGCCAAGTAGAGGCCAAGTAGCCATTTAACTCAATGCATTGTGTTACCCGTGGTTTACTCTCTATTTGTAATGATTTGCACATTATTTGTTGCACGATGGGTGACTATGAGGAGTGTTATGGTAATTTACCTCTAATCTATGGCTAACATGTACAGAAACATTGACTGTAGAGCTAATAAAAAAAATGGATCTTGGCCATAAAAACTGAGAAATAATCAACAGCCCAAAATGAAACTGCATCCATCTGGTTTTTAGAGAGTATACAGAGTAGCTGCAGCCATTTTACTTAATTTATGCACAAACAATTCAGATTAATCCAAAGGTTTGAAAAACAAAGTATAGGTTAAACTAACTCAACACATTTGAGTCGGAGAAATTATACAAAATAATGAGTTTCAACTCAACTCCAATTAATGAGTCTACATCAATTTTATTAATTGACTATAGAGCATCTAAATGTTAAGGATGTTAATGCTAATACTTGATTAAAGCAATTACAATACTGGCAAATCTGGCTTACCAGTAGAATTTTCATGACTTTCTTTTCGAGCAACAGAAAGAAACAGCTGAACATAAAACTTAAATAACTTTGTACATGAAACATGTTTGAGTTCATATAACCAAACACTGAATCGCAGTGACTACCATGATTTGCGTTGATGTGATGAACCGTTTTGATTTAAGAAATACAACTTCATCAAATGAGAGTGATTGCTGATTATTGAGATTTTAGGTTTATGGACTTCAGAATTCTGAGGCAACTGACAAGGATCTGCGCAGGTTTCTCACTCAAAGAGAGCTGAGAAGGTTTCCTCATTGTTGATGGACTTGCACTTTTTTCTATTTTCTTTCCTTTTTCTAGTAATCGAAGTTTGTAAGAGTCGAGGGAGCAGTGGAATTAAGGAGACTCATTATCTGCAAGACATCAACAAGAACCAACAAGCTGGGAGAGGCGGAAAAAAAAACAGATCCCCTGTTCTCTGTCGACCCATTCATCACCTGGTCTATAATATAACTTGACAAACTTCTCTCATCCACGGCATGTTTCATTGAGAAAATGTCACTGTACCCTCTGCCTACTTCTATCCAACATTTCTAACAGCACTTATAAACATATTGCAGTCATCTATTGGGAGTGTAATGATTGAATCTGTTCTCTTTAAAGGAATTGCAATAGAAGACTGTGGAGAAAAAAAAAAGTTGTTTTGTGCATTGTGCGTAACATATATGAAAAGAGAAGCAGCGTTTTTAGCTCTACTATCTGTTGTATTTGTTGCATATTTCTTGTCCTGCTGATGGTGGTTATTGTGCATCCTCACAAGCAGTAGAAACACAACATTGTGCATCCTCACAAGCAGTAGAAACACAACAAAGGCAGAAGTGACTTGAATCCTTTTGCTGAGCAGGGGCAGTTCTAAACTAAGTTTAGTAGGGGGAAAAAACAATGCATGGTTTAGCGTTTGAAGTGAGCCACAAAGCTGAATTTGCAGACTTCAGATCTGACAGTTGAAAACTGTGATTCTGTCAATAAGGCTGAAACTCAAAGCTGACTGTGATTTGTAGATAATTTAAAGTAAATTTAAAGTGAAATATTAAATTATTCAAAGCAACAGATCAGTTACAGTCTCTTCTGTCAGCATATATCTTTATAAGAAATTAATTTAGTATTACACTGCAAAAATAAATATAGTGTAAATAATAAATAAGTGTAAATTGATGGTAAACAACATGATCTGCTAAGGTAATGAGAAGTTTCCCCTACAAAAATAATACACTTATCCACTTGAAATAAGATAACGGAGTTGCTTTTCTTGTTCTTACCAATTGGCTGAAATCAAGCAGAAATACCTTCATTAAAAAAAGACTTATATCTTAATTTTTATAGTGTATCCTTTTAACACAGGAGCCAGGACCAGATCTTGATTGGGTGCTGGCCCCTGTTGGCCCCTATCTAGAGCTCCCCATGCTGCTCAGATGTGAAAGCAAGAGAGGCTTTTAGTCATTTAGTTGTTGCTGTACAGAAAAGCTGTTTCATGTGTAAATGTAATCCCTTTAAAGATACAGTATGACATTGTAATGTAAAAAGTATATATATACATATAGAGACAAAGAAAAATCAGTATATTAACAGAGATGGATATTTCATAGTTTGTCAGTATCTTCTTCACTGAGATGTTGATTTGAGCAGAGAATTGATTTTGTGTTGTGTTAAAAACAAGTAAAGAATTATCGACTGTGTATACGGTGGAGTTTAATTCTTTGTTGGGAGTATTAGGAAACCCAACGCTGCATGTGTATGGTGTGTGTGTGTGTTTGAATGGTTAATTCAAGTTTATGCAAATAGAAACATGTGTGGGTGTGTATGTATTTAACTGTTTACCCGTAAAAAGACAGCTGGATTTAAAGTATTTTTTTTTTGCTAATGCTGTGTTCAGTGCTCAAAAAAAAAAAAAAAAACTCCAAAGTTTCTGTTTTGTTCAGACCATTAAGGATGTGTGTATGTGTGTAAATAAATGTCGATGTGCAGATGTATTATTGCAATAAAAAGCAAATATGCACAGCAAAACAAAACTGTCGTCTCTGCCTGGTCTTCTTTGTGAAGGATAGATTGAAAACAAATGTTTTGATGCACAACCTCCAAGAAACAGCTATCTTCTCCAAAATGAAAAAGAAGCTGCAATGATTGTGTTTGACCACATGCAGAAAACTCTCAAGGAGCAATTAAAATTTCTATCAAGATTTTTTGCAGAACAGCAAAATAAGTCTGACTTTCCTCCACTAGGTGGTGGTGAGCAACCTTGAAGTGGTTCCAGGAAGGGGATTGGATCTAGGAGGTAAACACAGAGAGGAGTCAAGGAATGAATTAAAGAAATGACTTACTGGAGGCTTGACTCATTCTTTCTCTCAGAGGGGAATGCACGGACAGGATTCAGTCAGGAGTGGAAACACAGCTGGAACACCCAGCCGCCAGTTTGGAACTTCAGCCAGAAAAATGGGTATTTTTTGGAGAGGTTCTGGACATAGACAACAAGCTGGCACCCTTTGGAACAGAGAAATTTTATGGTGATAACACATTAAAGCATGCAAAACACAGAGCAAAAACTGTCTGAGGTGCAGAGAATTGAGTTACCACTTAGCATAACCATCAGGCGGCAGGAAACTGGAAGCTTGCTCCTTAAATGCTCCTTCTGATGACTCTCAACCTGCTGCAGGTGCGCCTCGTAGAGGTCGACTCAGCCACCGTGTCCTAGCCCTCCAGGTCAACAAGGTATTGCCATTTCCAATCCCACCAACATTAGCCCACAATCCCTAAAACTGGATAAACTGGGTTCCCTTCAAAATCCCAGGTGGGAGGAGGGGGCTCAGCAAGAGGCCAAAAACAGCTTTGCAGTAAGTGTCTTGTCTAAAATGTCCACGGCAACCAAGAGCATTCCTCTGGAGCGTGCCCCCCCCAAAACCCCCAGGTACTGAAAAGAGAGTTCCCTGGACCAGGAGCACAACAGGCAGCAAACTGTGTACACATCTATGATATAGGCAGAAGGGGGGGGCTCTGAAGGGGAAAGCAGTGTGGAAGAAAAACAAAGGCTTTACCCTAGAAACATGGAACGATGGATGGATCATCAAAGTTTGTGGCAAGCGCAGCCTAACTCCCACTGGATTAATGATTTTAAGAATGGGAAAAGGTCCAACAAAACGTGGTGCCAGCATTTTACGTTCAATCCAAAGACTTAGGTCCTTAGTTGACAAGCACACGTTCTGCCCCACACTGTAGAGAGGAACTGCTGACCTGTGTTGTTTGGCTGCTCTGGAATGGATGCTATCAGACCTAAAGAGAGCCTTAGTTGTTAGCGTTTTTTACTATTTTTCAAGGCTGCACTTTTAAGAAAGATCAAATTGTCCAGAGAGCTGTTCCAAACGAAATTTCTTTTTGTTTTACACTGTAAACAAATGACAAATAAATCTGTCTAAGTCAAAGGTGTCTCTTACCATATTTTGACAACCTGCCTGGCAGCAGCATAAACAGAAGGAACCCTGTCTTCTAGTTCTTTAATGGAGAAGACCGATGGGTCATAACCAAAAACAATTTGGATAGGAGAAATACCTGTAGAGCAGGTGTGAAGAAGGCAAGTTACTGGATTGGGATGAACGGTCACCAGAACAAAGGATTCGTTATTTAGTATCAACCTACTGGTTGATACGTTACATTTTGCCATCAGATTGTGGGTGGAAACAAGAGGAAAATCTCAAATGGAACCCCAATTGGAGACAAAACTTACTCCAAAACTGACTGTCCAAGGGGAGCCATTGAAATAGAAAAATGTATCCTGCCAGAATAGACTCAATTTTCTTAGATGAAGGAAATCCTTTTAGAGCAGCGGTCCCCAACCTTTTTTGCGCCACGGACCGGTTATATGTCAGACAATATTTTCACGAACCGGCCTTTAAAGTGTGGGGGGTAATACGATCAAATAAAATTATACAACTGATATAAAATCAAATACAAACAGCATAAAAATAAAACTCACAATTATGTTGAATTAGTGGGAGCCCTGAGCTTGTTTTTCCGAAATAAACCGGTCCCATCTAGGCGTTATCGGAGACAATGACGCACGAATTGTGGTCCTGATGTCCAGTCTTCTCCGTAGCTTTGTTTTGGTCGCTGTAACTGCAGAAAATCCCATTTCACAAAGATAGGATGTTATAGTCTTGACCTGAATTAACCTGTGTCAAGACGCACAGATGCACTGACTGATGTAATTGGGAGATAAAACCCCAATGTCTTATATTTTTCAAAATAAAACATCACTCAGACTCTGATCGTTGATAAATTATATATATATATTTTTTTTTTCTGTGCGGCCCGGTACCAAATGACCGACGGACTGGTACCGGTCCGCGGCCCCGTGGTTGGGGGCCACTGTTTTAGAGGAACCAGGTGGGTCGTTTTAGAGAACTGGTCAATGACTGTCAAAATTACAGTATAGAAAGAGGGAGTCCAGTAAAAAAGTCAATTGATATAGGGGACCAGGAGTGCTGAGGAAAGGACAATGGTAAGAGAAAACCAGCAGGTGGTTTACCTTAGACTGTGAGCAGACCCAAACATGCTGCAACATTTTTTTTTTTGACAGCTTTTCTGAAGTTAGGCCACCAAAACCGTCTCTGGATTATTATCAAAATCCTAAGAGACACCAGGATGACAAAATAGCTTGTTGGAAATATGACGAACTTAAGGAATAGGAGCCGAGGTAAAAAGGTCCTTTAACTTGTGAAAGGCTTGGTCTGCATTGTAATTCCAAGAGTAGATTGAGTTAGAGGAAATCAAACTCCAAAGAGGAGCGGCAACATCACTAAAGTTTGTGATAAAGCACCTATAAAAAGTCCGGTTTGTTAAAGATTTTGCACAATAACAAACCGAAGAAAGGACACTTTAGACATATAAAAGTTGCATTTAAATGCCTTGACGAACAGCTGATTCTTCAACAGCAGGGGAAACTTAGGGAAAAGCTACAGCAACAGTCCCTGAACCCCAGCAGAAGAACTTCAAAGAAATGTCAGATCTCAACTAGAAAATAATCCTGCTGGATATCCATACTAACATGAAATGAGTAATATGACAACAAATAAAAGGATGGTACATAATTTGATTTAAAAAAAAAAGCTTTTATCAACTAACTGCTAACTCCAAAGTCATTAAGAAATCATAAAATTGCTGAAATGTCATTACAACAACTCGAAATGAGGCTCTGTTGTAAAAAAGCTTTCCTGATCTCCCAGAAATTGACCAGGGCATAATTGCAGTCCTGTACTTTACGGGGAGATGCTGTATTTGATTTGTTTATTTTAAAGGAAGTGCTTGTTTGTACGATGAAGGCATGAGTATCATGCTCCAGCAGTCTATCAATGACTCAGGATTTCCACTCCGTACTAACACTAAAGATGAGTCTGGAAAAATGAGTAAGCTGCCAACACCATGAGGAGCGCAACACAATAATTATAAGCATGGGTTACCAGTTTATCTTTACAAAGATGACAAACAAATCTGTTTTATTGTTATAATCAATTTTTTGCTTATGCTTTGAAAAAGCTTGCGTCTTTTATTTTTGTCATCCTCTTATTTATGTTCTGTATTCACTCTCTAGCTTTTTTAACTGTTAAAAGTGTTGGAGACGGCTTTATTCACAGCCAGTGTGACTGTGCTGATGATTATTCTGCCTCTGAATAATGTCTGTTGAAAGCCGAGGCTTTATCCTTTATTTGTCAGCTGCTTCCTTGAAATAACTATTGAATTGATATGGGAAAAAAGGGCCATTGTCTTTGCTTTAATGTTTGCTGATCAGACAAAATGCATTATTAAATGCTGAAGAAATTTTGCACTTGGCATCACATCAGTTGTTTGTAACTTGAAATCCCTTTCATGTTCATGACACTGGTGGGAAACACAGTAAACCTCCTGGGAATGGCATGGAAGCTTTGCATGTTCTCCCTGTGCATCTGTGAGTCCCACAGTACAAAAACATTACTGTCAATTTGATTGGCTTGTATAAATTCTCCTTGGGTGTGTGTGTGTGAATGGTTGTTTGTCCTGTTTGACTCTGTGTTGCCCTGCGATAGACTGGGGACCTGTCAAGGTTGGACCCCGCCTTTCGCTGAATGACAGCTGGATATAGGCACCAGCACCCCTCGCAAACCCTGCAGGATAGGCATGACAGAAAATGGATAGACACTGCTGTTAGAAAAATTTATATCTTATGATTTTGCTGATGAAGATTCCCAGTCATCCAGGTCATAGTGACTCCGTAAAAGTAAAAAAAAAACAATCCACTTTACTTGGTTTCCAAGATTTGAAGACCTCAAGCTTTCTCCAGACATTTGAATTGAGAAAACTTCCTGGAGAGGTAGCGAAACCGTCTTCAAATCTTGGAAACCAAGATCAGTGGATTGTTTTTTAAACTTTTACGGAATTTTATCATTTTATTTCAAGTTACAGGCATTTGGCCAAGGAATGTAAAGTATTGTTCTATATGAGGAGAGGAAATATTTTTCTCAGGGCCTGGTATTATTCAGCTATGCAGCCGTATTTGACTGATAACTTCTGACCTCTCTTGATATCATCAGACCCCTCCTGGTAACGTTTGACCACTCCTGTAATTCCTTTGAAGTCCAATGATAAAAGCAGAAGAACAGAGAGGTTTGGGCAGAGTTGAGTACAGACTTTTCAAGGGGTCTCACGCTTGGTCTGTCCTCTCTCTCACTTTTCTGCAGAAAAGAAACGAATACTTGCCCTGGTTGGTTTTTATTTCCAGGACAATAAGTGGTTATGATTATTAACCCTATTGCTGCTTTGCTGCTTCATGGCTGGATTACGTGCTATAATTAATAGTCTTCAGGCT